ACTACACCAATGGTGGCCAAACTGGCTTAACGTTAACAGCCACATAGAATAAACGTCAGATGTTTTAGAGCCGCAAGACATGAACAAATATCACACACATGTTTTTATTGGGGAATACGCAAGTGGTTAAGACGCTGAACTGCAGGCTGTGGAAGGTCGGTAGTTCAGCAGTTCGAGACCCGAGTGTGCCGCATGATGGAGTGAGCTCCCGTCTCTAGTTCCAGCTCCTGCCAACCTAGCAGTTCGAAAGCAAGACATTGCAAGTAGATAAATAGGGACCACTTCGGTGGGAAGGTGACAGCGTTCCGTGCGCCTTGGTGTTTAGTCATGCCGGCCACATGACCATGGAAACGTCTTCGGACAGCGCTGGCTCTTCGGCTTGGAAACGGAGATGAGCACCGCAACCCTAGAGTCGGACTCGACTGGCTTTCGAGGAAGGGAGACCTTTACCTTTACCTTTAGACTGTGTGAAAGAGCCGCATGCGGCTCCCGAGCTGCAGTTTGGCCACCCCCGCGCTACATGAAACTGGCTCTGTTCCTTCTAGACCCATTCCTTGTAGCATGGTCCTGCAATTTTGTGAACCTGGACATTTTCCAGCTCTGGCCTGTAGCACTCAACTAGAAAGCTTTTGGAAATAGGAGGAGGGAGATCTGCCTACCCACAAACGATCATGTTTGGATACGTGCACTTTTACCCCTGAAAGGGGACTTGTGGGAACATCTTGCAAAAGCTAGACTGTGCTTCGGGGCATAAACTAGCCACGCGCAAAGGGGCTTTGGTGCGCCAATACCAACGAGAAGAGAACAAGCACTCTGAAATCTATCGAGAAAGAGGCACCTTGCAGAACTTTGACCAGGAAAGTTGATAATCGCTGTAGATGACTTGCTGTCCTAAAATGAAAGAAGAAAACAAATGTGAGGCCCAAGGTCTTTCCAAGCAAAGTACTGCAAAGCCAAAAGCATTTAAAAAGCCAAGCAAAAATTCTCAACCGGAGCTATAATGTAAACACTGCAGAGCTGGAGTCCATTTGGGACATTCCTGCCGAACAGCGAAGGGAAAACGGAAATGGCTCATTATGATTAATTAAGACACATTCAGGCGGGTAGCTGTGTTGGTCGGAAGCAACAGAACAACGGTTGAGTCCAGCGACACCTTTAAGGCCAACAAAGTTTCATTCTGGGTATGAGGTTTCGTGTGCATGCACAGTTATTTAGTGTATACATCAATAACAGAACAAAGTTCGAGTCCAGCAGCAAAGAACCAACAAAGCTTTATTCAAGGTGCACGCACACTTCTTCAGATACACACAAAAACTTATACCTAGAATAAAACTCGGTTGGTCTTAAAGGCGCCGCTGGACTCAGACTTTGTTACGATACATTAAGACACTTCCAGAGACCATTAACGATTCGTTGACAATTATAAATTAATGATTCATCAATAATCGGGTGGAATTAATTGAAGAAGAAGAAGAAGAGATTGGATTTATACCCCGCCCTTTACTACCCAAAGGAGTCTCAGAGCGACTTACAAACTCCTTCCCCTTCCCCTCCCCACAACAGACACCCTGTGAGGTGGGCGGGGCAGAGAGAGCTCTGACAGAAACTGCCCTTTTTCAAGGACAGCTCTGACAGAACTACGGCTTGCCCAAGGTCATCAAGCAGGTGCAAGTGGAGGAGTGGGGAATCAAACCCAGTTAAGACACTTCCAGAGCCATTAACGATTTGTTGACAATTATAAATTAATGATCCATCAATAATCAGGTGGAATTAATTGAAGAAGAAGAAGAAGAGATTGGATTTATACCCCGCCCTTCACTACCGAAAGGTGTCTCAGAGCGGCTTACAAACTCCTTTCCCTTCCCCTCCCCACAAAAGACACCCTGTGAGGTGGGCGGGGCTGAGAGAGCTCTGACAGAAACGGCTCTTTTTCAAGAACAGCTCTTGTCAGAACTACGGCTTGCCCAAGGTCATCCAGCAGCTGCAAGCAGAGGAGTGGGGAATCAAACCCGGTTCTCCCAGATTACAGTCCGCGCACTTAACCACCACACCAAACTGTTTCTGGCTCAAGACTGGACACATAGCTTGGCTTCCAGGGGGCAATGGTGTTTTCGTTGTTCCTACCTGTAAGTTTCTCCGCCAGCATGCTAAGCTGATCGGCGTTGAGGCCGCGGCCAACGTACGACGAGAACTGCCAGCTCAGCACTTCCAGGAGTTGACTCAAAGGGAGAGCGGGCGGATTATTAAAGAAAGCCAAGTTCTGCAGCCAAGAGAGGGTTCACACAATATTTTATTAGATGCTCGTTTGCGAAGATGTTATTGGCAGTGGAGAAAGTGCC